CTAATATATAATATTCATTATTAATTTTAAAAAACCCAACACATCTTTTGATAGCTTTCACATCAATAAAATGTTTATGACCAAAATAATAAAATTTTTTTAATCCAAATCGATAGTTATTTTCATCAAATATATTAGCCTATTCAATATAAGCAAGCATTACACTTGTATCATTATATTCATGAACAAAATATCATAAAACTCTACTAAAAAACTATTTAACTACAAGTCTTTTGGCTTTTTTATTTTGCATAGGTACTTTTAATTCACACTATAAAATATTAAAATAAAATTAATTAAATAATTAATTTAAAATATATATATTATTAAATTATAATATAAATACCATTATACAAGAATTATTGCATGATATATCTTCATTTCGTAAAGACATTTTTGATCCAATTATATAACTATCTATAGTACGTAAACGTGCATATTTTTTACCATTATATTTTAACTATATAAAAATATAATATTATAATTTAAATATAAAAATATAATATTTATATTATAATTATAAATAACTTACTTGTATTGCTTAAATATTTGAATTATAACTTTCTCGATACTATTAAAGTAAATATTTAAATTCAAGACTTTTTTGATCAATTGTATAATATTTTGTAGGCTACCAGAGTTTTTCACCATCACTATTAGTTTGATAAAATACTTTATCACCAAGATCAATTGTTTTATTATCTTTATCATTATAATTAATCAATATATATTTTAAATGATTAAATCACTCTAATAAAAGAATATTATTAACTAAATTAGTATAAGGATAAAGATGTGAATTAATTATTGGTTGAAGTATTCCAATTAAATATTCCATTGGATATTGCCAATGTGTCTATGAAGGACCACATTGACAAATTGAATAAGCAACATAGAGTAAATAATGAAATATAATAGTAAAAACAGAAAGCCACTCTTGATTATTTTTTATTTTTTATTTTTTTTTGTTCAAATTCGGCAATTATACCACAACTTTATTAGGCTTTGTAATAGTCATTTAGACTATTAAAATTTTAGAAAGACTTTTCAGTAAGTGATAAACTCTGAACATGTCAGCAAATAGTGTATGAGAACTATCTCTAAACGACATGCGCTGCGCCCAAGAGCCACACAACTATACCTAAATTATGAGTTGTGACTCACCCAGTTACCCCAATTGGCACCTATGTGTGACCTGCTATAGTAGGTTTCTCCTCCATTCGGCCCCTCCTGAAATCAGATATTAGCCGGCTCTCAACAGATAGTACCTACTGCCTGTCATGACTACCTCCCCTTTTTTCAAGCTTCTTCCACCTAAGCCCGACTAAATCATTAACCCTTATTTATACATAAAAGAAAAAATTTAAAGCCATGTTTATGAAAGACCTAAACATCTTAGAAAAAAAAACCTCACGGTAGAAAAAAAAAACAAAAAAAGAGACAAAATTCTAAAGAAGTCTAACATAAATTAAACAAAGATGAAAAACGAAAAAAAGGAAGGTAGCTATGAAGGCACCTTAGTAATAAAAAATTATATAATAACTGCAACTAATTATTATATCTTATTATAAAATGTTTGTCTTATTTTTAGGACTCGTTTCACGCACTGACTCAACTCGAGTATCTTCTAAACGAGAGTACTGTATCCATCCCCGTACCATAGTGCTACATTTGTAAATCAACAAAATACGTGATTACTTTCTACTGAGTTCATCCCGATTTGATAGGAGTAAACAATGCTGATCTTTTGAAGGGGTAAGCCAAAATGCCCACTTTTTTTGAAAATTATAGTAAGAATGACAAAAAGCGAGAGAAAGGTAAAAAAACCAATAGGAGAGCACCAAAGGAGCATAAGTTTTCTTTACTTTGATTAAAACCTCCACCCATAACTTGCACAGTACTCACTTTTTTCAGTGAGTGATAAACTCTAAGCTTGTTGGCAGGTAGCGTATGAGAACTACCTCTAAACGACAAGTGCTGTGTTGCAAGGAACAGTGAGTGATAAACTCTGAAACAAGTCAGCAGGTAGCATATGAGAACTACCTCTAAACGACAAGAGCTGTCCTGCAAGCCATTTTCCATGTCTTACGATTTAAATCTCAACATTTCATTGAAGTGCCCCGACGTCCGGTGTTTTTTCTTGTAAAAAAAATTTTTGTGAAGCAGTGGTCCAGATAATCATCAAAAAGAGTTGCTTGAGCCACTCTTGATTACATTGACCATAAACTCTAAAAATTATATAAAATTTTATTATTTTATTTTAAAAAATATAAAAAATAAAATAATACCTTTTATAATATAAATAAAAGTATTATAATAATGAATCAATGTCATTAATATCATGTATTGTAAGTATATATTGACAGCATTTTTGAACAGCGAGTATATATAAAGCCCATTCTTCAATAATTCTAAAAAAAATATTAATAAATATATAAATAGTTATTTCATATTTAAACTCAATATACTTTTTATCCATATAAGGAATTAACAAAGAAATCGAATAAAGAATTGTCCAATTCATCCATTCTTCTGCTTTAAATCCTTTAGAATACTTAATATTTATTAGTGGCAGACCAAATTCTGATGGCATAGTTTGAATATTATTAAGTATATGTTTTCTAATTTTTCTCCAAATATTAGGTTGTAGAAAATAGATATTATTATTGTTTAATTCTGTTTTTGTTGCAGAAAAAACTGCCCAGACCAATGACAATACATTGCAGGTATTACTCCTTCGAAAAATAAATGCATTATATCTGTAGAAAATGATTGTAGAAATTGTATTGTATTAAGTTCAAATAAAATGCATGAACCTTTAATTCCTAATATAATAATTAATTAATTAATTAATTTACTTAATATAAAATTATCTCGTAAGTTTATTTGTTTATTTTTTCAAATCCAAATTGTATTTGCATAACTTTTATAACATCTTCACTATACTCTTTATAAGATCGCATTGGAAGATTTAAAAAATTATAAGATGAAGATTGCAAACTAGAATTTAATAAGTAGTAAATATGATCTTTATATATGCCACAAATATTACAAAATCTGCAAGTCATATATGAATTATGGCCTGTTAAATTTAAAACTTTTGTAATTGCAGAAATATCACCAGTCTATATAATAGTATGTGCTTGTAATATAAATTTCATATTTTTATAATCAGTCATTTTAACTCCATCTATTAATATAATAATAATAATAATATAATAATAATATTTATTAATATAATAATAATATTAATATAATAATAATATTAATATGATAATACAGTAATATTAATTTATTTAATTTTAAAAAATTATTAACAAAAATTATTAATTAATAAATATATACATTCTAATATTTTAAGTTTATCAACTAATGGTTAAAGAAATGTATCTATTTTTTTTGGACTATTTGGTTCAGGAATTATTCCAGCAATAAGCAAATTTTCTTTTTTTATATGTTTATCAGGAGGTAAGTTTGCATTAATATATAAAAAAACCTAACAATCATTTTGTTTTTGTCAAAATATTTGGTAATCATCAGTAGATCCAATAAGACATATATTATAAAGATTAGAAAAAAATCCTTCTTAACAAAGATCTTTATATAAAATACCATCAAAAATATCATTATAAAATCCTCCATTAGATTGATATTTAGATCTAAATAAAATTTTTTTAACATAATTTTGATTTTTAAATTGAATTTTGAAACAATCTTTAAGAAAAAAATATGTAGCTTTCTTGCAAGCCTTCTCTTGGTTAATATAACGTGGTTTATTGCATATAGGACAATTAGAAAGCTGTTTATATTGTCTAGTAAATGTGCAACATGAATCTACACACATATCGATAAATATTGCTATCAAAGTAACTATATTTGCAAAAAATTTTTTCGCTGAATATAATGTTATATTTTCATAATTGAAAATTTCTAATATTTCTTAATATATTTGATTTGTTAAGGTTCTTTTTTGTGCTTTAAGTTCAAGCAATTTAAGAGCCTTCTTCACCAAATCATTTAATTCTTCTGTTTCTGCTTCTGTATAATTTAATAGTAAGTATAAATAGTAATAATAATTAATTAAATATTAGCATTAAATATTATCAGAATTATTTGAAAAATATTCTATAAAATCATTATTATTTTCAAGTATTTCTTCTAATTCTGAATTTGATTCAATATCAGATGATAATAATTCTTCTGAATTTGATTTGGTATCAGATGATAATTCAGGTTCATTATTAGTTTTAAGTATTTCTTCCAATTCTGAATTTAATTCAATATCAGATAATAATGCTTCAGGTTCAGATTCATTATTAGATAATAATAATTCAAGTTCATTAGATTCAAATTTATTATCAAAATCTAATTGCATATCTTCAGAT